ACATGCCAAAAAAAATGAGTGATCTCTACTTCAGATGAGCTGGCCAGAAAAGGTCATGGAAGGGATGACTTTCCAGCTGAGATAATGAGGAAGAACAGTCCATAATAAGACATCTAGTGAAAGCCACAGGTTGGGCTATTTTGATCTAGAAAATGTACTTCAAATTAAAAATTGAGAAATCACAATTATAGAAAAATAATCCCACCATCCTGAAAGATCCACACATGCCAAAAAGGGAGTGATGGCCTCAGTTGGACAAGGGGACTCTTGGTTTCCATAGTCTCTAAAACACTTAAACTGTGGGGGAGGAGACATCACTGGAGGGCCAAGCACTAACTTTGAGATGGCAACTCCTAGATTTCTGAGAACTGCTTAATAGGCCAGCCCCACCATCTGTGTAGTATCTTTATTTAGAACCATAAAAATAACAGTCCCTGTATACCATTCATGCTTATAGATATTGCTAAGCTTTTTAAAATAAAGCTAACATATGGCAGCTGTCTCTTCTCCACAGATGACCCTCACAGAGAATTACATGACAGTTGAAGCTTGCTAGCTTGGCAGTTTGAGGGGCAGCTGTGGATGATCTGGAAGTCCTGTTGGCTCTATGTGGCTTTTGCCAAGTCACCTGGCTCTTCTGGACTTCAGTTCTACCTGGAAAACAAAAGGGAAAACATCTGCTCCACTTATATCAGGGACTTGCTGAGGTGATGAGTAAAAAGAAAATGTGATAAACTGGAAGCACCCAAAATACAAGGTGTGTTTCTGAGAGATTTCTGCTTAAGGCACATCATTATAGATTAACATTAACTATTCAAAATTCCTTGGTTGACTTTCCAAGACTTTCATATTTACACGTACCCTCACCACAATCCTTTCTCACTAACACTGTCCCTTAGCAATGCTGAGAGGGCGGGTGGACTAGCCCACTGAGGTGGAGGGTAGGGAAGAGGTTGGGATGGAGCTTAGGGAGTGGTAGAATTCTTGAGTGAAACTCCGTTTCTTCCTCTTAGATTCCACACACACACACTCCAGTTCGAGGTCTGTTTCTGGCCTGCAGCATGCCTCAAGTCTATCTTCCTGGCTAATTCCCTCAATTCCCACTTGCCTTCCTGAAGAGAGTGGCTTATGTCGAGCACCAAGACAATGGTTCCTCTCAGAGCTGACATTCCAGGGACTGGAAGATGATAAGGAACAGTAAGTCACATGGTGAGCACTATGCAGGCTTCAAAGCAGGTGCCACGCAAGCCAAAGGGCACCTTCTAGGGCTGTGTGTGCAGGTGTTTGGGTCCTTTAAGTAAACATCTGAATGAAAAGAATAAGTGCTGCAAATTTCTGTTGGGTGGGGGTGGGGGGTGGGGGACATGCTAGGCAGAAACTCCAGCTCAGAGAAAATTCCTCAACTAGGACAGAATTTGGGGTACTTAAGAGTACACTGGACCACAGGGGACAAGTAGTAGGAAGAAAAGTAATGAAAATTTTTGCGTTCCCAGACCGGAACATGGCACGCTGGGCTCAGGTCTTTTCTGACTGCCTGTAAGAACAACTCAGCAACTCCCTAATTTAGGCATTGCTAAATTTAAATGTTTAAACATAAAAACCAAGGCCCCAACAGGCTAGTTTGGGAGGTTCGAATGGATAAAGCGGGTAAATGAGACTGCCATGGGAACCTGGACATTACGCTGATGACCCTGGAAGCTGATGATCCTCTATGCTCATCATCAGTCAGGACACACTCAAGAAGAGCCACCCTGACCAATCAACGAGGCCTGGGGTAGAAAGAACCTATTCCAGGACCCCCACTCTGTGCAGGAGACCCCCACTCTCACCCGCTCTTCTCTCAGCATCTGTTTCAACAAACCTGTCTTGGTTTCTGGTGAATTCTTTCACCCATGCGCCTCTGGTCTGTACCAGATTCTCCCTCATGTCATGGGGCTGCACAAATTTCCACAAGTTAGGTGGCTTACATACAAAATTTATTTCCCCACATTTGTGAAGGTGAGAAGTCTGTAATCAAGGCATCAGTAGGATGGCGCATTCCCAATATTCTAGGAAAACCCTGGCCTCCTCCTGGTTGGTGGACGAATCCTCACTACCTACAGGGACCTATTAGACCCTTGGCAGCTTCACATACATAAACTTAGGAAAACTAAAAAACAACAAAAAACAGAAACAAAACCCCCTTGAAAGCCGGTTGACCTGGGCAGTTCTCAGATCACCGCCAGTTCTGCTTACAAGTTTTCTTCATATCTTCATAGTCTACTAAGTGTCCTTTGGCATCATGTGTGCAGAGGTGGGTATGGGAGCTGTGGTTTGTTTTCAGGTGCCAGAGTTCTAGAAAGTCTCTGCATTAGGTATAGCAAGTCATGGCTTTAATAAAGTTGTTTGTAGTTTTCTTGCAGTCCATTCAGCTAAAACGTAAGTCTGAAATTAGTTCTTAAGTTTCCTTTCTCCAGCTCAGCCTGAGGGCATATTTCATTATTTTTTTCTCGTTTCACAAGGGAAGGGGTTCTGTGTTTGGCTTTTCAGAAGATGATCCATGTCTCTAAGACCCACCCAGCATTAGCCTTGAGACGCTGACTCCTTTGAAGTCAGGGGGGATAAAGTGACTGAGAATGAAATAGGGTATAGATATTAAAGTGATGTGCCCTAATAGGTCCTTATTGTGCAACCATCTCAATTATTGGAAGTTTCTAAGTTAAGTCTCATCCTTTTGTGAATCACTCAAAACTAACACAAATACTTTTTCTAATGCTCTGGGCAAAGAACTGGTTCATTGAACATTCATAAAAATCTGTTGAGTTTTATCTCAGTACTTTAAAAAATGCAGCAAGAAGGCACCACTATTTGTTCTATATATTTATTTATTTAACACGTGTTAAGTATCTACAATGAACCAATAATTATATTTTATTGTTTAAAAAAATTCAAAGCTGTAAAACATGGCCCCAGATGAGAGGTTACCAAAAGCAGCTGGAAAGGATGAAAATTGCTCACTCCCAAAATTCTGTTTTGCAACTCAGCTGAGGATTAAAGTCCCAAGAACCAAAGGAGACCCCACGGAGATGCCCCTGCCGAAGACAACGAGAGGAACTCAGAAGTCAGCACAGGAGAGGAGCCGGGGGTGTGGGCCGAGGCAAACACCAGCTACACCCAGTGCATAAAGGCGTGGGAGCACATCTCTGATCTCTGGGACCCACCTTGCCTTCCACCTCCTAAATCCTTGACTTCTTTCCCTTTTCCCAATTAAAAAAAATATATATAAACAAAAAAATTTCACCATATATATTTAATCTCCCAGTGACTTGTTTAAATATAAGTCAAATTGTATGGTTTTCTTCATCCTGCATTAATGATGAAAACTGATCATTCAAAAACTGCACTAAGACAATGAATTCCTAAAGAGCAATCCAGCTTTAATTGTAGGGTACGGAATCACCCTGCAAACAAATTACAGTCACTATGCTTTACCATTAGGTACTGTACTGGTTGTTGTTGGGTAGGATTTGGTTTTTTTTGTTTTTCCTTTTTTTTTTTGGCAAACTTAGAACAAACCAGAGAACAAAATGTCTTTATCATCATGTAGAAAAATAAAACAAACCTAAAGTATCTACGTATGTGTCAAGTGATTCATACTGCAAAAGTGAACTAAAATCTACACTTACAGCAGAGTTTAAAAAGTCCTTATTGCAAGAAACATAACCAATGAATACAGACCAATACTTATTAATGAAATGGAAAATTTTCCTATACAGAGGTAGAGTCCAGTGCACAAGGCTAAAACAATGTTCAAAAGTCTAAACAAGACTGAGCCAGGTTTTACGGAATCCACTTTAAATTTTAAGTTATCAGACTCTATGTACATACATACAATAAATAGACTATACAACTTTGAAAAGTAGTTTAATAAACTCCACAAAATAATAGCAGATGCATTGAAATTATTTACATAATTCAGTTTTCAAATCTCTCGCATTCAAATAAGAGGGATAAAAATAAGACTTCTGCTTTTAAAGGCAGCAGGACCTCTTTCCTGAAATGGACTGGTAAAATAAGATACTTTACATGAGAGGAACTAACTTATGGTTGAGAGGTATTCATATTCACTAAGAAAATATGTCCCTTTTTAAGCTATATAGATTAGGGAATATATAAAATGATACTTTCTACATTTTTAGACCTCTATCCAAAGTTCTAAATCCAACTCTTACTTGAAGAGAAAAGGTGATTTTGGTACTCACACAGAGTATATCAACACAATTACAATGGAAAGACAACTTTTCATATTCCACTTGTTTGCTTTTGAAAGTCTAGACAAGAAAAAACTTACTATTTCTGGCCCAAATAGTTACGTTTACAAATGAAATTTCATTGAAACCTGGCTAGTACTTTTGGCTTGGTGTTCTTGGGATTTCAATTTTCTGAATTCCTTCCATTTCCAAAGCATGTTTCATCAGGGGCAGGAGGCATGTTTGGGGACCAGGTGTATGATTTTAGGGTACTCAAGACTAATGTTTAAGAGTCCAAAAATTTCCAAGCTCACATAGGATAAAGGTGAAACACAGATTTTTGACTGCCATTTGCCTCAGAGGCTTAAAAAAGGAAAAAAACTTAGAAACCTGTTATCATCACAAGCTTCACTGACTCAAATTCTTAGACCTAGTATCAAATTTACTTTTTGATATTCTGGTATTCTATCATTTTGATATTCTGTCATTAACCGCTTACTTAGTTTGATATAAAAGATTCTTATCCATCCCTTTCAGAGAATAGGGATAATCAGAGAACAAAGGCATGATCATAATGAAGCATAAACCTTCACAGTTTGAATTTTGTTTAACTTCTCTAAGCACCCACAATGAAAATGCAAGTTGAGTTTTTTGTTTTTTTTTTTTTAAATCAACCATTCTGTGAAAAATACTTCAGTAAATAGGAACATTTGCCCTTCAATAATCTTCCCGCTGGAATACCCACCCACCCACCCCCGTTTTTTTTTTTTTTTCAATTTTAGATTTTTAAAAAACTTTATACAAATAGACTAACTTTGATTTAAAGTAAACATATAAAATTGAGAATATTGCTTGCAACAATGGACAAGGAAGTAGAGGAACGAAGTGAGCAGGGAGTACAAAGAAATGGCTCCCACTCGGTAGCTTCAGGCAAACGCCTCGCACTCCGGACAAACCTCACGCGGAGGGCACGCTCTGCTGCACGCTGTTTCCTTCCGCCTGGGAGTCTGACCGATGTATAGCTGTGATTTCAAGTCAGAGAAAGAAAAAAAATGCGAGAAAGGCACAAGCACCCATGTTATCTAGAATGTTCTTAGGGTGAGGAATCAGGGAAGAGGGTACTTTTGGTTCAGTACTAAAGTCAAGTTAATTTTGCCATTATTGGAGGAAAACTGGAAAATAAAGGTATACAGAAATGTCACAAGTGCACCCTACTTGTGAGGAAGAAAGCCCAGAAGATAGCTCACAGGAATAGTGCAAACAGAAACAACCAGTATTATTTATTTGGCTGGCTGTGCCATGGGGAATAAACTATATTCTCTGCTCTGTGGGGCCAAAACCAAAACAAATAAACAAACAAAAATGTCCCAAACCCCATAAAACAGCAAGAAGGAATGCAAGAAGTCATACAGAACATATCGATACACATGGGGGTAATAAATGCGGCACTCTTGACTTTAATGCACATCCAACCTTGTTATCTACTGTTGTGTTTTCCATCCTAATCACGTACTGACCAGACGAGGGACTTAAGAAATGGCCAAATCATTTTAACCATTTCCCCCGCCTCTATACAACTCCCCTTTCCCTTTATTTCCTTCTCCAGGATTAGAGTCTTTTTCCTCCAGGAAGAAAGTGCTGTTAATGATGATGGGGGAAGGGATGAAACAGGATTTCCAGAATACTGATTTTGTTTCCCTCAAAGCCTTGCTGTGAGTGGGCCACACAGCTTAGAGGCAGTCACCCAGGCAGCCTGACACAGCTATGAATTAAGAAAGGAAAGTAAAGGAAAAACAAACAAAACCACCCCAGGTGTGTCTTTTCTCAAATTAAAGGAGAAACTGAGGGATGGCAGGGCCTCTGGTGAAGATGCCAATAGTTAGGAGATGATGGCCGGGGACCACCTAGGCAGAGTCAGATTGTCAGCACTTGCTGACCGTTTCCTTGTTGGTCTCCTCAGGTCCTTGTACTTGTCCTCACAGAGGCGAGAGATGGCCTGCAGGGCAGAAGAGACAGTTCAGTCAGGACTGGCCTGGGGTGCAAGCGCCTTCCCCTCAAAGGGGCGCTCCTTCACTCACTCAACAGACCCCAGCATGGCGCCGTGCCCCTCATCATTCTCCACACTGAGGACACCTGTGAACAATCCTGCCCTCCCACCCCCCCCCCTTCAAAAAAAAAACAACTGCCCCATGGAGTTTACACACCACAGCCCAGCATTGTGCCAGTCACAATGGGGAATACCAAGGAGGTTTAGGCACAGTTTCTGTTTCCAGAGTGCTCCCATACAGCTCCAGAGAAAGGACCTCAAGCAGTACAGCAAGGGGTCAAGCGGACCCAGGCCTAATGCTGGCTTCCACTCAGGGGTGAAATACCCTAGGCACATGGCCCATTTCAAGTCTCCTCAGCATCCCTGTCTAAAGACGGGGTAGTTAACAGCATCTTTCTTCAGGGTTATTGGTTAAGTTTGAGCTTCATCTTGAGCTGCACATGAAACGCTGCTGCCCCTGGTAGAAGTTGCTGACATAGAGAAGCCGGTGGTGTGTGCTGCCTGGATGCAGTGTAGTGGCAGCAGTTAATTGTCTGCCTAACCTCAGCATAGGTGGGGTTTGGACAGCCGGCTGGGATTTCACTTTTTTTTTTTTTTTTTAAGATTTATTTATTTGTACATAGAGAACTGGGGTACAGGCCAGAGGCTCAGGGGCAGTGAGAGGCTTCACCAGAGACAGAGTGGGGAGCAGAACAGGCAGATGGACGAAGTACACTGCTGAGGGGAGCAGCGGGCGGGCCAGGAGAGGTCTGCCGTGCCATGTGGTCACCTCCGGGGCAGGTGGGAATCGAACTTATGCAGAAGTGGCTTTAGCTTCTTAGTGCAGTGCTTTAACCCGCTGCGCCACCAAGGAGAGCCCGGGATTTCACTTTTAATACCATGCAGGTAAGATAAATGGGCCAATCAGACTTGAAAAGCAGGTACCCTGAAGGAGAGAGAAGCTGAGGCTCCAGAGGTCTTGCAACAGATTCTTTTGATCCATCAGGACTCAGACCTTCAAAGACAGATTCACTGGGAAGAGTTACTGGGACTCCGCCCTCTAGAGACCTCCTCATCTCATCTCCCCTGCAGTGTGTCTCCTGTGCATGACATCTCCTAAAGAGCTGTCTGCTGTTGGCCTATGCCCACAGCTCTCTAAGGGCTGTCCCACAGGAGCCTTTGGCACCTTGAGTGCTGACTGACATTGCGGAGCTGTGTCTGGCCAGCTCTTGGAGATGGCCACTGCCTCTGGAGCTGCCGGGAGTTGCCTCTGGCACTGTCTGGAATTCTATCTGGCAGTGCCCAGGATGCCACCTCAGCAGGCCCACTTGTGATCACCTCCAACTACCATCAGGAGCTGGATTCGGGCTCACCATAAACCAGAGCGCCACCAGCTCCAGGCTCCGCTGAACGGACACCACCCTCCAGTACGAGCAGTCCTTGGTTTGGACTACTGGACACTACCTTGGGTAGAAAAGCCAGCCATTTGTGTTCTTAGAGAGCCATCTCTTTCCTCCAACTGCCTCCCTGCCTTTTTTTAAAAAAAAAAAAATTATTTATTTATGCATACAGAACTGGGGTACAGGCCAGAGGTGCTGGGGCGGCAGCGAGAGGCTTCACCAGAGACAGAGTGGAGAACAGAACAGGCAGATCAATGAAGTACACTGCTGAGGGGAGCAGCGGGCAGGTCAGGAGAGGTCTGCTGTGCCATATGGGTCACCTCTGGGGCAGTCGGGGATCAAACTCGTGCTGAAGTGGTTTTAGCTCCTTAGTGCTGTGCTTCAACCCGCTGCGCCACCAGGGAGGGTTCCAACTGCCCCTTTCTTAATCCTGTCATTGCACCATGAGCCTGAGTGATGCTTTGCAATTGTTGATGCTCATGATGAGAACTCACAAACAGTGACCTGTCTCCCAAAGCTTTTACTTGAAAAAAAGAATCAATTGCTGATGGATTCACAGGTATGTGGTCAGCTCTAGATAACCACAAAGGAAACCTGGAGGGGACCACAGGTACATGGGAAGATGAGGAAAGTGAGACTCCAAGGAGACTCCTGAGGTCAGAGCCAACTCCTCCAGGGTGAGAGCAGGGCTGAGAGCCACCTCACATGGACCCAGATGGCTTGTCCCAGCCCTACTAACCTTCTCTGACTAGCTGACCCAAGGGCCAATTCAAGCAGTAGGCCAGCTTGGCAGTTCTAGGGAAACAGACTCAGCATCCACCTGTGGAAGAACTCACAGTAAAGGGACAAAGACACACATGTAGTTGGCAACTCTCCACTGCCTGTGTTGGAAACCTGACCAGATCCCCACTGGGTCTCCCTGGAATCACGGTAGCAATCCTCCAATGTCTCTCTGTTCGCCCCCACCCCCAACGCTCATCTCCTTCTCGTGCTTCTCCGCTGCCCGCCATACTCCATGATGTCCCCAATGGCCCCCAACACCTGAGCTTGAGTTTACTCCCACAAGCTTTACAGCAGCTCGAGGCTCTAAAGACTAACACTCATCCTATACTCAAGTCTGCATATAATCACCATGTACTCAATGAGACTGTAGACTAAAGCCACCCCCACCTGGCTCTAACATAATAGCCCATTTATTTTTATTTCTTACTAGCTCCTCTTAGTGTGATGCAAATTCCCAGAGGGCAGGGTCTGTCAGCTTTGCGCACCAGATCTGTTAGAGTCTGGTGTCAGAGAGCCCTGAGTAAATACGTGCAAAAACAAGTCCAAGTCCCAATCAGGATCAGCACAGAGGCAGGACAGGACGGAGGTATATGCTCAAAGCACTTTAAGGTGGGGGAGAGGGGGCACTGAGCAACTGATTCTGTTTTGGGGGGCCCTAAAGGGATATGCACATCTGAGGATGGGCATCAGAACCAGACTTCAAGGACTCTACTGGAAGGTAGAAAGAGCAGTTATTAGGGATGGGACATGCTTGCAGGGCGGGAAATCACAGCCACATGGTGCTGGCATGGTGGGAGCCGGCAGGGATGGTGAGGAAGAGAGCAGAACGGCAGCCAGGCTGGAGCAGCCACCTTCACGCTGACTGGCTCGGGCTGTATTTTCTGGGCAATACAAAATCAGCCAAGATTTTCAGAGTTACAGTTCCCCCACCCACCACTGCATCTTAGAAAAACAATTCCAGTGGAAAGTGACTGGAAAAGAGCCTGGAAGAGAAAGACCTCTCTCCTCTCAAATGAGAGATGAATTAAAGTAGCAGACAGGTTATAACATATTGAAAATTTCTCATTTGAAGTAATTATTTGGAACTCATAATACAGGTGGCATATTACAGACAGGAAAATCGTATTTGCTAAGGGCACAAGACCATTCTTTTCTCAAGAGCAAATTATTTTCATTTATTAAACTTCCTAAATTACCATCTGTTATTTCTCAACTTAATAAAGTTATAAACTGAATATAAAGTCGTAACAACAAATTAGCAATGTACAGTTTCCATTCCTTAGAAGTCAGTTCAAGAGGCTGTCAATTGCTTTTCCAAAGTACATTTGTCCAGCTCCACTGAGGAGGAGGCACTGGACTTCTGTCCAGTTCACAGAGCCTGTGGGAACCTCCTTGGGGGAGAAAGAAGAGCTTCCTGAGGATGATGGGTCCTCCTCCCCCTCAGTGAGCGGAAGGAGCAGTTAACTGGGCAGCCCCACCGGGAGGCAAGTAACCCCTTCCTTCAACGTAGACAGCTCAGAGTGGGGCAGCACTAACTGGCCCAGGCCCAGCTCCTGGCTCTGTGTGGCTGGATGTGTTCCTGCGGGCCTGCCTACTTGTGGGGCTAAGTGGCGGCCAGCAGGCCCAGTGCCTGTCCTCAGCACACAGCGGAACATGAGGGGTGCTACAGGCTGACCCTGGGTTCCAGCTCACCATGAACCCTAACTCTGATGCGAACGTATGTCTGCAAAGATTTGACAGTATTTGCCTTGGACAAATCCTTCAAGGGAAAGGTTTCCACTTCTACTTTTGAATAGAGGAGAGATGGGAGCCTGAAAAGACCAGTTTCACTCTCGTGGTTGTTAAACAATTACTGCAGAGAGACTGAGTTCTGAAAACCACCCTAGATATTTATTTTACTTCTAGAGCTGTACATGTCATCTCGCCTACAGTGATGCTCTTTCATTTTTGAGATTAGCATGTTATTAACTACATAAATTTCTGCTTTCTTAGGATTACAATCCATAGTAACGCTCATCCTCCCTACCTCTCAGCACTGCTTCATTTGCAATCGTTAACCACTCGACCCTTCACTGACTGGGGTAACATTTCACTTGGGTTGGAAAATGCGGCAGCCTGCACACACCTCCCAGGGCTCAGAAGTCTGGGAGATGCCTGTGCCATCTATGGCTTTGGCAAAAGTTCTGTGGGAAGAGACCAAGAAGGTGTCGGAGATGAAGTGCGTTGGGCCCAGCACACATATCTGGGGGGCGAGGGGAGTCACCAGTGATCCTTTATCCCCAATCTATTCAGTCACAAGTCAGATGGAAAGAGCTAGGTGCAAACCTGACACCATAAGCTTGAGAAACGGAAGCCACGGCCTAGAAAGGAAGGCCCCGAGCCAGACCAACACCAACAGGGCTGGTCCAGCTCTAACTGGGCTGTGGAAGAAAGAGTTTTGGGGAGTAAAAAAAGCAGAATCAAGCCTTTTAAGTTAAATTGTATTGATTTACCATTTATCTACAAGACCATAATTTCAGAGCACAACATGTCACACAGTCCACTCATCACCAAAGGTGCAGCTGAACTATCACTCTTCTTCAATTCCCGTCCCTGCTACCTCCTATAATCCACCATGTTTCACTAAATCTAAGACTTATTTTTGATGTGTTTTGACAGTTTGTTTTCTTTAGTCATCTATATTCCACCAATGAGTGAAGCCATTTGGTCTTTCACTTTATCTTCACTTAGTGTATTATCTCAAGTCTATCCATATTGTCAAAAAGAGCACAGTTCCATCTTTTAAACAGCCGAGTAGTATTCCACCGAGTATATAAACCACAACTTCCTTTTTCCAGTCACCCACTGATGGGTATTTAAGTTGACTGTGTTTTGGCTATTCACCATAGCATCTTTCTGTATTAGTGTTTTTATATACTTTGGGTAAATCCTTAGAAGTGGTATTGGTAGATCATATGGCATTTACACGTTAAGTTTTTTTTTGTTTTTGTTTTTGTTTTAAGATTTATGTATTTGTGCATACAGAAGTGGGGTACAGGCCAGAGGCTCACGGGTGGTGAGAGGCTTCACCAGAGTGGGGAGCAGAACAGGCAGATAGATGAAGTACAATACTGAGGGGAACAGCGGACGGGTCAGGAGAGGTCTGCCATGCCATGTGGTCACCTCCGGGGCAGGCGGGAATCGAACTCATGCAGAAGCGGCTTTAGATTCTCAGTGCAGTGCTTTAACCCGCTGCGCCATCAGGGAGGGCCCCATTACATGCTAAGTTTTTGAAGGAATCACCATACCATTTTCCATAAAGGTCACACCAATTTACATTCTTACCAAAAGTGAGTGAAAGTTCCCTTTTCTGCATACCCTCACCAACTCTTGTTGCTCCCAATCTTTATGATATAGGCATTCTCAAATGTGTGAGCTGATCTCTCACTATAATTTTGATTTGCATTTCCCTTACAATAATCATTGGTACATTTTTTTATGTTTCTGTGGGCTATTTGTATGTCTTCTTTGGCAAAGTATTATATTCAGGTATCTTGCCCACTTCTTGATTGGGTTGTTTTTTTACTTTTGAATTGTAGGAGTTCTTTATCTATATTGGAAATTAAACCTGTATGAGACATGTGAAAGTACAAATGTCTTCTCCCCGTGTCTATGTTTCCTTTTTATTTCTGTGGCATATACACACTTATTAAGGCTTCTTTTGAATCCCAGCGTAGGATCTATCCTTGAGAAATGTTCCATATGCACTGGAGAATAATGTGCATTCATTTCTTTTGGGATGGAAAGTTCTGCATATTAAGTCCATTAAGTTCATATAATCTATTACTTCATTTAAGGTCCTTATTTTATGTTTACCTTCTCTCTAGAAGACCTATCCAATGATATGAGCAACATGCTGAGATCACCTACTAGTAGTGCACTGTATTTATAGCTATCGTATACATTTTATATGCATCTGTTTGAATGCATAAGTATTAATGACAGTGGTATCTTTCTGATGGATTGTCGCCATGATCGGCGTCTGTCTTTATTACCAATTACCTTTTTGGCTTAAAGTAAAAATGATCAGATATAACAGTAGCATTCTTTTATCTTTTTCTCTGTATTTGGCCTGAAGTACCTTGCTCTAGAATTTAAGTCTATTTGTCTTTAGATTTGATGTGAGATTCCAGTATTTATAATATAGATAATTCATGTCTTAGGAATTCTAACCTGTCACTCTTGGTGAGTGATTGGTGAGTTCAGACCATCCACATTTTGGGAGATTTATTGCCTTGTAGAGCTTAATTACCACCACTCCATCTTTTGTTTTTCTTTCTGTTGTTTCTTCTTCTATATGTTCTGTCTTTTCACTTGGATGGTTTTCTAGTAATATATGAAACATCCAGCCTCCAGCAGCTTGGCTTCACAGGCCACACAACCTGATATGGTTTTCCCTGATGATTTTCTCAGTTTCTTCATTTCTGCTTCTATATTTCTGTTCTAGATTTTTGTTTTATGGTTAACATGAGGATTGTATCAAGCATTCATATCCAAAATAGTTCTTTTTGTGCCGGTACGGACTTACCATCATTTGACTATACAGTTCTCTACACTTTTCTTTCTCCTATTTAACCTTTTTTTCCTATTTCATACTTGTTTCTTATGCTCTGTTAGCACTTCAATCTTTCTTGGAGGGCAGGTCTGAGGTGGTAAATTGTCTAGGAGAGTCTTCATTTCTCTGTCACATATGAATGCTAACTTTGTATGGTAGATTATTCTTGACTGGTAGTTTTTACTTTTACAGTATTCAGCTCTCTTCTAGCCTGTGGTTTTGCAAAGAGTGATGAAAGCTTGATAGAGGTACCTCTGTATGTTGCATGCTCTTCCTCTTCAGTAGCCTTTAGTGGCTTTTCTTTATTGCTGACTTTGGATGATTTAACAATGATGTGTCTTGGAGTAACTCACTTTGCATTTGAGTGTTCTGTCTGCTTTCTGGACATCTATGGTTTGCAATATTTTCAGCTATTATTTATTTGGATAGAGGCTCTGCTCTCTTCTTTGTTCATTTTTTGGAAACCCATTATAATAGTGTTTTCTTTATAATGTAACCTGATATTTTGAATATTTTCATGCTATTCTTCTGATACTATTTTTCCTAAATCTTATTTCTCCTATTTCATTCACATTATTTTGTGCATTTTATTTTCTGGTTCACTTATCTTTTCTCTGCAGCATTAAGCCTACTGACTATGCTTTCTATACTTATCTCCAGTTCTGTCAATGTATTTCCTAGCATCATTTGTTTGGATGTCTTTAATATCTTAATTTTCTTTAATGAAGAATTCCTTCAGTGCCTGGAAATTTCTGATATTCTGCACTTGCCTTTCTGTAAGACCTCACTGACTCCATTCTCTGTTCCCTGAGTTGACCTTTCCTTTGTATGTGTCTTATCGTCTTTTCCCAGTAGGTGGTGCTGTGACCTTAATTTTGGAGTCCCTGTTCAGGCAGTGAGAAGAGAAAGTGTAGGAAGTAGGAGTTCAAAAGTCACAAGCAGTTTTGGAGTGAGGGAGGGCAAGCCAAGGCTGGCAATCCAGTACCACGTCTCCCTCTGCAACCAGACAGAACTTGCATCTGTATCCAAAGCCTACTTTCTAAGTCCCTGCTTCTCTTTGGCTTGGCTTCACAGGTCATGGGATTTTTTCTCCAACCTCTGAAACCCTCTCTCTCCCAGAGGTAGGGCGGTGCGGCTCTACCACTGCTCAAGCTACCACCATTCTGATCCTCTGGGACTGTTCACTCTGTCCCAGCGCTCAGCCAAGAAACAGCATAGTATTTCACTCTCATGGTGGAACTTACATGTACCCAAATGGGCACACTTGTGGATTTCATATTGTTAGGTTCATCAGGTCTCATTTTCCTTAAAAAGGTGGATGCTGGGGAATACATTTTTGTGGGCTTATCAAGATTTAAAACCACAGGGGCCAAACAAATCTGCTTTGATTTGAAAAACAGAATCAACACACATTAAGTAAAAACTGGTATTAAGAGGATTACTAAAAACACATGAGGTACAAATAATAACTAAATTGACTATGTCCCTGGGATTGACTTTCCTTTCTAAATCCAGGGTACCTCATCTTTACCTCATAACAAGACACAGAGGAGAGGTGATCACTGAGTACACACAAGCCACGTCACCATGATAATGCACTGGCAACAGTGCACCAGGACCAACATGCTACCAACATCTTACCTCCAACTTGTGAGCCCTCTCCCTGTTCAGGGGCTCCAAGGGAAGGCTCAGGTTGTTTGCTTCTGCCAGAGAACGAAGATCAAAATAATACTTGGCATAAACACTGGAAGGAACATTGATGTTGAACTGAAGCAATTCAAGGAACTGTCGCTCTAGTTCATTCCTGCAGAGCAAAGACAAAATAGCACATATTTAGAGCTGGACCAGGTTGTGTGGCCTGCCAGGGCAAGCTGTTGGAGGCTGGATTCCAGAAAATTGCATACTACAGACATTAAAGCCATCTGATAAACTGACGAGTTAGACACCAAAGTTGTGGCTTAACCACCAAACTGGTATTAGAAGCTAAATTCCCTTACCCAGTGCCCAGAAGGATAAAGCCTAATTAAATGGGATGATCACCATGAAGTATTTCAGAGTGATTAGTTCCAATGAGACTGACACACACAGCAAGTTCTGGTGGCAGATCTCAAATATGGGACAGATGAATCAGTGAAGAGCTGTCACACAGAGTCCAGGGAGGCCCAACAGCTGCCCTGTCACATCTAGAGCATTTCCTCATGGTCTTCACTTCCTCCTGGGAGGAGAGTACAAGATCTGTTGCAGGAGGATCTTTAAGTAAAGGGAAGAGGAGGGAGGGTAAATTGCAGACCCTCTATCTTAAAAAGGGAACTCAACCAGCTCTAAAGAATGGAAACAGGTTCTTATCCTTTCATTCAGGTACTCAAACCTGGGCTTGCATTGGATCGCCTGGAGGGCTTGTTGTAACAGACTGCTCGGGTCCATCCCCAATCTCTCCTTCAGCAGAGAATGTGTCTTGCTAACAAACTCCCAGGATGCTGATTCTGCTGGCTTCAGCCAGGGACAGAGGTCAGCAAAGGGGCTAACAGAGGCGGTGAAGCCCATGTAGCCAACCCACTTATATTTTGATGAAAACAAGTGACGCAGTCAGAATAAATTGAAAAGCTGTTTTTTTGGTTTTTTTTTTGAGAAGTTTGCTAAGTCAGTGATCTTTTGAATCAGTTAACAACAGTTATTCCCTGGGGGGAGAAAAGTCCTCAGGGCCGGCCCTCGGGGGCGGCACCTCTCCCAGAGGGTGTGCGCCCTGGCCACCACCGACTGCTCAGTCTTTTCTGCCGTCATACTGTACTGTCACTTTGAACTCAGGCTCCCCTACTTGTGTCTTCACAGCCAGAAACTGTGACATCTGATTTTATGCCTGGTTCTCAGCACAATACCTGGCATGACGTTGGTGCTCAGTAATTAGTTATGAAATGGAGCAGACTTCAACTAGGGAAGGATCCCAAGAAGAGAGAGCTCAAGAGAGTTTAGGGAAACATGGAGCTCTGGTGGAGAGAAAGAGGGGTTTTCTGGGGGTATTTTCAGCCAGAAGGGGGCCACTCAAACAAGCCCTGCTTATCATTTCCTATTATGTGGAACTGAAGAGTGACATGCCTAGGCCCAGGCCTCACTTTTCCTGACCCCAGCCACGGCCACTACCAACCCCACGAGGCATAGAATCTCCCAGTTCTAGTCCCCGCATGCTGGTGCATGGGAACTTGAGGCTTGGAACAGAGCGCCATGGTCTCACATTGCTGTGACAGCAGGGAAAGGGGTGGGCAGGGCGGCTTGAGAAACACAGAAACCACTGGGCAAAAATCAAGAGACTCAGCCAATTGCTATGGAAGTCCTAAGAGCTCCAGATGGAAGGGTTATGAAGTCAAATTTGGGTCTTTTAGTTGAAAGGCAGCATAATTTTCACACTATTTTATACAGCCTAACGAAATGAGTGAAGCTCCAAATGTATATACATTGTGCTAAATTTTACACTTAAAAAAATTACTTTGATTTACTTGGGATGATTTTTACTTTAATAAAATCTTTCATTTACTCTTTACTTAGTGATATTTTTAAAAAGACTATCCTACAAAGTACTACAACTCAAACACGGTTTTGGTAAGACAAGAATGTCGATGCAAAAGGGCAGGAAGGAGAGGCTGCCTGTGGAGTGTCTGCCATCTGGTGGCTGGAAGGTGTCACTGCAGCTCTTCCTCTGACCTTCTCTGAGAACATCTTGACTTTTCAGTTTATCTTCTAAGAGAGCTAGTATTACTCCTGCCACAAATGGCTTATGTCCAATACCTCTTGCTGTGGGATAGCCTATGATTAAAGTAAAAAATAAATCTGTTTCTGAACAAGACGGCACTTTCCAGCATTCACTGGTAAAAAGAACAGCCTTTCTCCAAACCTTTTCTTGAATGTTGTCTTATGTTTTTTGCTAAGCTCTAGGAAAAACAGAGATCTTAACATTACTGTGTATTTAAACTAAGGGGAAATTTTAGAAAGTAAAAATATTTCCCTTAATTTAAATTTCCAAGCTTCAGCAGAACATCTTAAAGAAACATCTCATAGCAGGCTTATATGGTAAATTACAAGGAAATTAGTAACACAGAGAGAATGGATTTACTGCCCTCAACTAGAGAAATATGAAGAAATAGCTCTGATGTAAATTCAAATAAATAAATTAAAGTTAATAATAAAAAATAAATTCAAGTCAATAAAACAAAAAATACATTTAGTAAATACCTATTAGATCAGATCAACACTGTAATAAACCAAACTGAATGGGTATGATTTAGCAACCTGCAAACAGACTTCTAAAGTGGAATAGAGTTGTTTTGTCTTTCAACAACCATGCCAGCTTTCAAAAATAGAGTAAATAACCAAAAGAACTGAAGTCAAGGGGTCAAAGACATATTTGTACACCCATGTTTATGGCAACATCATCCCTAACAGCCAAAACGTAGAGGCAATCTGAGTCTCCAAGTGTATGTCAATGGATGGATGGACAGATAACATGTGAAACAGATACTCAATGGAAGGTTTCTGTTTTGATAAAGGAGGAAATTCTGACACACTACATGGATGAACACTAAGATATTATGCTCGTTAAAGTAAGTCATCAATCAAAAGACAAGTAATCCGTGAGTCTAATATATGTGGTAATCAGAATAATCAAATTTATAAAGTCAGAAAGTGGAATTATGGTTACCAGGGGCTGGGAAGAAGAGGGAAATGGGACTTCATGCTGGAAAAGTACTGTTTCTGCAGCCCTTACTAGGCAGTTTTTGTTTGGGGATGATTGTATGACAATGTGAATATACGTAAGGCCACAGAATTGTACAATACTTTCTTAAAGTGTAAATGTTATGCCATGCATATTTTACCACAATTAAAAAAAACAGCAACAATCAAGCACCAAGGATGGAGGTGGGATGAAGGTTCTCTCAGGGGTCCCCACCTGCCATTTGGCACTTAGACAAGTGTCGTGACTTCTCACTTGGGAATACCTTTGTCTATGCATGAAAAGGACTCAGGCATGTTGCAACACAAAAACAACACACAAACAGACCAACCCTTAAAGTGCAATTTTTAAAAAGCATTTGTCTACCAATCTTCATGGCCCTTTTCCTACCGAGGCGACTGTCAGTACATGCACTGGCGTGACTGTTCACACCTCCTGGCCAGTGGCCCTATGTTCTTAACACAGTCTGAACCCGGAGTCAGCCTGAATCTGTCTGGTGTCAGTGAATACTCTCCACCTGCAGGGTCACTGTCCCAACTATTCTTACCTACAGCATTCATAGACATGTCTTAAAATATTCTCCAACCTGTTCCCATAATTGTGTATTCATATGGACTGGGCTGGAACTGAAAAATTTGAGGTTTTCCAAATCTTCAAGCTCTGGCCCCTTCTTAGCAATGCCGTCTTCATTTCTCTCTCTTATTCTACTTTATCTTCAGCTGCTTTCAGGCTAGTTTCACTAAGCCTGAAGGTATGTGAGGGAGTTTTAAATCAGGTGCCTTGTTACTGGATAATACTTGACCTGGAGAGGAGCCTGGGCTTAGAAATATCAGTAAGGTCACACTGGGCTGTTAGTACATGGGTGAGTTTGAGAAAGAAGAAGGGTGCAGCGTGGGTCAGGAGGATGTATAGGAGGAAAAAACATACACAAAGCTTCCCTTCTGAAACTTACTCACCCTCTCCCCACTGAAGAGTTCCAAGGGAATGCTCAAGTTGTCTCCACCAGGAAAGAATGACTGGCTGGTGATACTGCGATTAACATTTTGCTAAGTGGTTAAAAGTTCATCAATGCTGTACAATGGTGGTTTTACAAAATAAGATATATGTAAATGTTAGGAAGTTATGTGTCAAAATGTTGGCAGTTACTTTTTTCTGAGGTATAGGATTGCTAGAAAAATATGGTCATTCCAGACAAGACAGTGCAGACCTTAGAGGTGAGCATGTCTCAGTGGGAAGTAGCCCTAACTGTTTGCATTTGGGAGGAAGAGTAAGAGGAGAATTGAAACTCAAAAATTCCTTAACACACTGAGAATGAAACTGTGTGGCAGACCCTGCGCATGTGGGTCAGCCAGCTGCTCCTGTAACATGCTGCAGGTAAGGGGTGTGGCTTGAGAACCAAGCAGGACCTTCACTATAGCTTAGGAATTTCCTAAGTAAGGTTCAAGTTCATGACCTAAATGCTCTACTTTCCACACAACACTAGAACACACTTTGGTCAAGTTCTTTGCAACTTAACAAGCACTGTCTTTTCACCAACACCAAGTTCTTCGTTTCTGTCTGAGACCTCACTTCAGAAGCACCTTTTACACTTTTAACATTCTTAATTTGAGGAACATGCTGTTTGTGGTTATACAGTGCATCTCTGAGATGAGAGATCTGTTCTTTCTGAATTCTACCAGAATTGCCATTAGTAACCATATTTCTCCCAACAATGTCTTCAAGTTAATGCAGGGTTTTTCTAACATATATATCAAGACTTGGCCAGACTCTGGCCATGATCCAGCTTCACAACCACTTCCATATCTTTACTTTTATTTATAAAAGTAGTGGCCCATTCCCACCACCAAGGTCTGCATCAGTGGGCTGGGCCTGCCATTATAAAACACCACAGACTGGACGAACATAAACAGAATTCATTTCCTCATAATTCTGGAGGCTCAAACTCCACACATAAGGTGTCCACAGATCTGGTTTCTTCTCTCGCCTCCCCTGGCTTGCAGGTGGCCATCTCCTCTCTGGGTCATCACACATCTCTGCTTCTGTTTTCTGCATCCCAGTCTCCTCTTCTTATCAGACATTGG